AATCACAGGACTGGAGAGATAGCTCAGCAGTTAAGAGCACTGACTGTTTTTCCAGAGGTCCTGAGTTCAATTCCCAGTGACCACATAGTGGCTCACAGCCATCTGTTATGAGGGTATGATTTCCTCTTGTGGTGTGTGTGAGACAGGGACAGTGCATATCTATATCTTTATATCTATATCATCTATCTATCTCTGTATATCAAATAAAAAAACAACAACCTGGGGCTATAGCTCAGTGATAGAGTATTTGCCTAGCATCTGTGAGGCCTTGGGCTCCATCACCAACATTTTAAGAAAAACAAAAAAGGAACAAAAAACAGCAGACCCTGGGTATGGCAGCATGCCTTTAATCCCAGTGGTCAGGAGGCAGAGGCAGAGGCAAGAGAATTTCTGTAAGTTTGAGGCCAGCCTAGTCTACATAGTGAGCTCCAGGACCACCAGGGCTATATAGAAAAGACCCTGTCTCAAAAACAAACAAAACAGACAGACAGACAAGAGTCTCAGAGCCCCAGGGCCTGAAGGAGCAAGGGAGGTGGTGCCAAGTCTCCTCGCTGCTGTGAGAATATGCTTGACATTTAGTTGGTTCGTAATTTAACAACCCAATATCAAACATATCACACAGAAGCAGGCAGGCAAACTGTGGTAGTGATCTGTCCCTCCCCTCACTGTGAAGAAAGGTCAGGGGAGACAAACCAGAGCCTAACCATGTACAGGAGGAAACCCATCTTCTTCAAAGGCACTGACCCTTGGTCTATCACTCCCCAAATATAATCTTGGTTATCTGCTCTTCATGCTGTCCCCACCACAACCCCTCTTCTACTATGTTCAGTGTGTGCTGGATCATGTTTTTGTAAAGCAAGAACACTGGGCAGGGCTTCACATCCGGGCACCTACCATTTCCCAAAGCTCCCACACGAAGCTGCTTCTCCCTGTTGTGTGACAGCACCAGCTTCCAGAGGCTCAGCATGTCAGCAGGTCCTCAACAGCTTTGCCACCTGCCATCCGATGCCACCTCAGCTGCCCAGGGCTTTCCGGGAGGTAAGGTTAAGGGTTGCATCTCCTCTGCTTTCCCCTTTCCAACCAAACTTCTAACCTTCCCAGATTTCTTTTCTCCCATGAGACTGCTCAATCTTCTCAGTAGACTCCAACTTCATGGCTTCTAGTCAACAGGAGTCATGGGAAACGTCTGAAATGTGGCTGCTGCTTTCACCGTCTGGTGCCTTGTTTCCTCCTCATGTCCTTAAAGCATCCTCCTTTAAGGTGCCATTGGGTGTCCAGAACAGAAAACCTATTGCACTCACAAGCTTCACAAGCTAGTCTGGGATCCAGACTAGCTGATGTCCAGCTTCTCCTTCCTGGCTGAATTGAAACTAAGGCTTTTACATCAAGAGCAAGAGGGAACTGCTTCTGTCAGGAGGTGGCCTGCAACCCTCAGGACTCCCGTTCCTTTCTACAGCTTTTTATCACCAGAGCTCCAGGGCTGGCTTCTCCAAGGGTCTTCCTTCACAGGGATTCAGCCTGGTTCTCTCTCTCTCTTTCTCTCGTTTTTTCCTTCTCAGAGAGAACTGGGTCTGTCGAGTGTCATTTGGCAGATGTTTTACTCACAGTGGCAAAAAGGAGCCCAAGTTATAGCTGGACGGGGGCTGGGGAGCGATAGGAAGAGCAGGGTGGGAGAGCACTCTTTATCAGTCCCCAGGCGTGTTCCATGTGTCCTTGCTCCATTAATCCTGACAGCTCCCTCCCCCACACACTGACTTCATAGTGACTTTGATCTAGATCAATACTGTGTCCCAACACCCAATCAATTCCAATTAATTGGATGTGGTACTTGCCTTCCAGGGAAAGACTAATAAATGGGCCTAAGTCCCAAGTTAGGTGGTTGTGGTATTGTCTTTTCTCTTTTGTAGTTTCCAAAGTCTGTGTGTGTGTATGGAATATTTATATTCTTGCCCTCCATTTAACCTGACCCCTCATTTCTCAAGTTCTGTTTTCTTTCTGAGGGCCTTGGCCACAGTGGGAAACAGAAAGGAGCAAGAGAGCCTGGAAGGAGACTAGCAAGAATGGAAGACTCCCTAGATGAGGTAGTGCACACCTGTAATTGCAGCACTTGGGAGGCAGAGGCAGGAGGATCTCTGGAGTTCAAGGACAGCCTGGTCTACATAGTGAGTTCTAGGATAACCATGACTACATAGAGAAAACTTGACTCAAAAACAAATCCAAACAGAATTGAAGACATTAGTGTTTGGGGAACTATAGGAACAGAGAAAGGTTGGGAATACTGGTGTGGGAGGTGCAGCTCTCTAGGAAGACTCTGGGTGGTACAGTTAGAAACACCACACCAAGCCGGGCGGTGGTGGCGCACGCCTTTAATCCCAGCACTTGGGAGGCAGAGGCAGGCGGATTTCTGAGTTCGAGGCCAGCCTGGTCTACAGAGTGAGTTCCAGGACAGCCAGGGCTATACAGAGAAACCCTGTCTCGAAAAACCAAAAAAAAAAAAAAAAAAAAAAAAAGAAACACCACACCAACAAGCACTTTGGCTTTCCTCTTATTTTTATTACACTTTCATATTTCTGTGTGGTTGTGTCATGGTGCCCATGTGATGGTCAGAGGAAAACTTCCAGGAATCTGTTCTGTCCTTTATGTGGGTTCTTTGATTAAACTCAGGTCATCAGGCCTAGTAGCAAGTGCCTTTATCCACTGCACTATCTCACAGAACTCTGCAAGTGGTTTTTAGGCAGCTTTTTCAGATAGGTCCAAGTCCCGAGTCACAAGGCCAGGGTGTGACATCAGCTATAGCATGGGCTGGTGGGAGTAATCGAGTGATGTGTTGAGTGCAAACAGAATTGGCAGGGTCAGGGAAGATGAGTGCTATAGTGGACCAACCTGCCAATAATGGAGCCAACCTGGCACTGATGAGCCCTGAGGCAATAGGGCAAGGTCAGAGATCCAGGCAGACGGGATGTGGCATCAAGTGAGTCCAAATGAACAAAGGAAGAGAAAAACTGGAGAGGTGGGTAATAAAGTATGGTGGGAGTAGAAATAAGGGACAAGCCAGGGCCCCTCTATGTGTACTCCTTGGTTGGTGGTTTAGTCTCTTGGAGCTCTGGTTGGTTATTACTGTTCTTCCTATGGAGTACACATGGAAGGACTCATGGCTCCAGCTGCATATGTAGCGGAGGATGGCCTTGTGGGACATCAATGGGAGGAAAGGCCTTTGATCCTGTGAAGGCTCGATGCCCCAGTGTAGGGGAATTTGAGGGCGGTGAGGCAGGAGTGGGTGGGTGAGCACCCTCATAGAAGCTGGGGAGGAGGGATAGGATGGAGAATTGGGGGGGGGAACCGGAAAGGTAGATAACATTTGAAATGTAAATAAAGAAAATATCCAATAAAATAAAAATATAAGGGAAGAAAGTACCATGGAAGAGGGACTATTAACAGCATTATGGCTTCCTGTTTTAAGTATTATGTGTGATTTTTTTCTATCTAATTCCCACAGTAACCCAATAAGGTTGAGACTGGTTTCATTTCATAAATAACCAAAACTCAGACTTAAAATTTTTAAAACTATTTTATATGCATGGTGTTTTATCTGCATGTCTGCATACCGTGAGCTTGTCTGGTACCTGACAAGGTCAGAAAAGGGCACTGGGGCTGGGCAGTGGTGGCACACACCTTTAATCTCAGCACTTGGGAGGCAGAGGCAGGCAGATTTCTGAGTTCGAGGCCAGCCTGGTCTACAGAGTGAGTTCCAAGACAGCCAGGGCTACACAGAGAAACCCTGTCTCAAAAAAACAAAACAAAACAAAAAAGGCACTGGATCCTCTGGAACTGGAACTAGACAATTGTGAGTCGCCATATGGATGTTAGGAATTGAATCTGGATTCTCTGCAAGAGTAGCTAGTGCTCCTAATCACTGAACATTTCTCCAGCACGCCCTCCTCAGAATATTAAAACTTGCACTAGGCCAAACTACATGACAAGGCCAACACTGAAAAACACATCTGTCCATTCTATTAACTCTAGTCCTAACTATAGTATATATCTAACCAAAGTATATCTGTCAATAAGCAGGTGGCCTAGGAGACAGATCAGAAGGAAGCTTGAAGAGGCAAAGACGGTATAGACCAGGCCAATCACTGGGATTGTGCTCTCTACCTACTTATTTAGTCCTGAGGAAAATCCTAGGAGCATCTGTCCTTTCCAGAAGAGGAATGAGGTTGATACCATGAACCTATACCTGATCCTAAAGCCTGTGCTTTCTTCGTATCCTGCTTGCCTTTCCATAGTCTTCATGGGTGGGATATGGAGGGACAATTAGTAGCTCCTAACAGCTGAATGAAAAACACAGGATAGAGACAGACTGGAAGAAGAACGTGTGTGAACTTTGCAGTGGAGACAGCCACACAAAGCTAAGGGCAGGAAAAGATCCTTAGGCACGTATGTGTGAACAGCAGCACTATTGAAAGAAGCTGAGTTTAAAATATTAGCCATTACTTCAGAGGACATGTTCTTACATGTTCACAGCTATGGGCTATGAAATGGGGGCGTGTGTGTTTCTGAATGCCATTTGTATCCTTGTGACCTATAGGCACATACATTAATACTTTCCATGATTTTCAGTGTCAAACAGTTGAGAATGGACATGCTTTTTCCAGCTCCTCAAACCTACTGCTGGATACTTACCACCTGCTTCATTGCAAGCCGAGTGCCTGGAGGGATGAGAGTTTGGAGTCCTCAGTTTCACAGAGTAGGAGAGAGAATTCAGGCTAATCCATGGTTTCACAATAATGAAATGACTTCTAAACAGAAAACTGGGGCTTCCTGACACTCAAGCACCATAGTGCCTATAGATTAATAAGCCATGTTTAATTTGTCCACGAATTTAGGAAAGATCAGTGAAACTGAAATCTGAGGCAGTGCCCACAGTCTAGAAAGTAAAATTATGGCAGCCAAGAACAAATCAAGACTCAAGGCTGAGACTAAACCCTGTGGCCTAAATATGAACCTTTAAGAACTAGCTTTATTTGTTAAACCAAATCAGATTTTTAAATCCACTGTACATACTATCCCCCGACAAAAGTGCATATCCCACACTGACCACAAGGTGTCACTCTTGTTTCCAGAGGCAACATTTAAGTTGACATTACAGTGAAAAAGGCATGTTTTGGGAAGCTCAAGGTAAAGAATGAAGGCTGGGTGGCAGGCACAGCGAGATGGAAGAACGATGTTTCAGCAGCTGTCAGAGTCTCTCCTCATAAAAAGCTTTGCCCATCCGATTGAGTTCCCGCTGGTACTGTTGATATTCCTTTTCAAACAGCTCGTGTAAGGCAGCTTGACGGACCTAGTAGGAAAGGCAATGAAGTGTTTGGTGTTGGCTCTTCAACACCTCTTCTCAGACTCTGGTTGTCTTTCCCATCCCTGTGTTCTGTTGGATTTGAACTTTTATGCTGGGACATAAAAGGAGGCAGTAGAAGAAAGTGTAAATCCGTGGAGGGGAAGCTAACCTAAGTTCCCTTCTCTTGGGTGGACTCATTGTTCAACAAATATTTTGCTGAGAATTCACCATGAACTAGAAAATCTGCTAGGTACTCAAGAGTGACATTACAATTGTCACCCAGGAGGAGAAGCAGCACCTTAGGATCTCACTGGATGAAAACAGCAAAGACTGTTTGAAATTGGAAATGTGTCACTTGCAGCTGGGGCGTGGCACACCTATAGTTCCAGTATATGGGAGGCTTGATGTCTGCAAGATCCAGGCCATCCTGTGATGCAGAGCCAGACATTGTTTTAATAAATACATAAAATAAAACCCCTGGCTAGATAGTGGTGCATTTTAATCCCACCATGCAGGAGGCAGAGGCAGGTGGAGCTCTGAGTTCAGGGAGGCTAGCCTGGTCTACTTAGCAAGTTACAGGTCAGCTATGGCTGCATTGTGAGACCCTGTTTCAAACAAAACCCAACCCAACAAACCCAAGAAAACAAAGCTTTAACAACCCAAAACTAAAACAGTACAATAAAACAATGAAAATGTAAAAATAATCACTGGAAAAGAGCTTTGATATTTGATGTTAAAGTAATGTTCTGATAAAATAATGAAAAAGAATCCAAGAGGCAAATGATATGGTTATGTCAAGAGAGCAGTTTGATATCCTGGCTAGCAGGAACACAGGGCAGGAAAGGGGAAGATTCCAGGTTGCCCTCCTAGAACTCACCACCAGTAGCTGTTTGTTGGACAGTGCTAATTCCTTTTCCACAGTATCCTTCATCCTTAGGGCAGCATATAGGTTTCTCCGTTGGTCCAATGTCATCTGCCACATACAGTGTGTATGAAAATTCCGCCACCTGTCCCAGGTTTAGGGGTGGGAGTTAAATGGGTGAGTTAGTAGTAAAGACAAGCTCTTACTAATGTGGCTCTTTGGACTGATTTAGAATCTAGTGTGTAAGTGCACTGTTACTGAATCTTTACCATGAAGAGTCAGAAAAGATCAGCTGTTATAGTACACAGAAAAGGAAACTCAGTTGTGTCACTTAGTTCTGGGTCTTACTTCATTGTTCCTACCCCTACCCCCACCCCAAACTTTATTTTCAGACAGGGTTTCACTGTGTAGCCCTAGAAGCCCCTCCCTCTGCATCCAGAGTGCTGGGCTTAAAAGTCATGCACCACCACTGCTTAGCAGTTAAAAAAAAAAAATTATGGAGCCCAGATTGAGCTCCAACTCACAATGTAGCTAACCCTGAACTATTACTTTTTTTCTTTTCTTTCTTTTCGAGACAGGGTTTCTCTGTATAGCCCTGGCTGTCCTGGAACTCACTCTGTAGACCAGGCTGGCCTCGATCTCAGAAATTCACCTGCCTCTGCCTCCCAAGTGCTGGGATTAAAGGCATGTGCCACCACTGCCCGGCAATCTTGAACTTCTGATGTCCCTGTTAGAAAATAAATCCAAGTCCTGTGCAAGCTAGGCAAGAAGTCTATCAGTGAGCTATCTGTGCCTGCCCTCCTTTAAAAGGCTTTTCACGATATAGTCCTGATTCCCTAGAATTATGTGGACTATTCTGGGCACAAACTCAACAGTCCCTTGTCTCTGCCCCATAGTGTTGAAATTAAAGAGCAAACAATACCAAACTGGGCCTCCCTTTGTGGTTGAGTATCAGTCACAAGGCAGTTTAGGCTGGCCTCAGACTCACACTCAACCAAGTACTTAAGACTATAGGTATGGGCCCCACTGTGCTTTTTTTTTTTTAAAGTGTAGAGTTGGAGGTACAGCAGGAGGCAGAATGCTTCTATGCATTAAAGCCCTGGATTCAATACACCCCAGTGTCACAAACATCAGTATGTTATCAGGTAAAATCTGCAGTTTAGTCTTCCAGGGATTGTCACTTGTTCAACTGTTGAAATACCTGATGTATATAATTAGCACAAAGCCAGGCAAGAAACACATGAACATTCAAAAAAAAAAAAAAAAAAAGAAGGCAAAACAACAAACACTTATGCCTTTTCTGCTGAGCATGGGAAGCAGGAACAGAAAAAGGCTCATCTCCTTGGCATCGCCACACTCAGCTCTCTTGCTGTGAGAACCAAGCTGCTTCCTCTCTGCTGTTTTCCTTCTTGAAGAGTCCTCACAGAGAGCAGATTTCAGTCGTGGCTCAGGGAGAGGAGAGCAGAAAAAACAAAGGGATGGGAGCGGATGGAAACGGATTACCTGTTGACAGTCTTCTTCAGTGCCACTGCTCTTTGCAAATTCTGCAAGAGAAGGGAGTTCTGTTGACCTCCTTGACTGCTAGAATCATACCACCAGTAACCACGTTTGAGGAATGAAGTAGTCAGTTTCCTAGAGGCAAGTGGGAAAGCCCCATATCTCTCAGAATAGACTGAAGAGAAAATACAGGGGCCAGAGGGGACTTATGTGAACAGCCACTCTGTTCCAGAAGCAGTTTCCTGTATTTTGCTGACTCTCCCTTACGCTTCCAAGGGCCTTTCTCAGGAATGTTGTACTTTGGGTAAAATAATCTGGAAAACATATCAAGGGAAACTCTTCCCCCTCCTTCCAACCCTCCATACCTCTTCTAGTTTTGTCATTCTTTCCGCAGACATATCTACTTCAGACATGCTTGGTAAGTCTGGGGACACTGGTAAGGCTCTCCTTTCTGTTTAGTTTGGTCACCAAGGTTTCAGTAGTCATAGCAACATTTAGGCGTTCAACAATGACCCTAGTCCTGGTAGTTGACTGGTTACTTGAGCCCGTTGCCCTAGTGACCTGAAGGGAATCCCAGTTCTAAACCTCTCTATTAGTGACAAGACCAGGCTATAAGCACGAACCACACATTCCCTATTTCAGGATTTCTTCTGTTGGAATTTCAGACAATCAGTAGTTTAGATCCAGACATACAGTCCAATCAGTTACTGGCAGCGACACTCCACGCCCTATGTCCTGAAAGGGAAATGTAAGCACACATCAAATGCCTGTTGTTCTAAAGACCACTCTAAAGAAATGATTCATGATTTTATAGTAGTCAGTTTTATTAAGTACTTTGTAAACTAAGACTAATACACTGACACGAGAGGAAACCACTTCTTCACATTGTCTCACCATCTTGGCATAGGTTATGTCAAGTGCCATAATAAGTGCCTTTCTACTTGTCGTAAGTACTAGGTGAAGGTGGGAACAGATCCTTCCACTTTAGGAAAGTCATGTTCAGCAGGGCGGTAGTGGCATAAGCCTTTAATCCCAGCACTTGGGAGGCAGAGGCAGGCGGATTTCTGAGTCCGAGGCCAGCCTGATCTACAGAGTGAATTCCAGGACAGCCAGGACTACACAGAGAAACCCTGTCTCGATAAACCAAAAAAAAAAAAAAAAAAAAAAAAAAAAAAAGTCATGTTCATGTCATAATACACCTGGTTTAAATGGAGCACCAAAATTCCAGTGGACATTCTACCCACTTTCTCAATTTCCTTTCCCCATGAGGTCTTGACTGACTTTTCGACCAATCAAATCTGAGATGCTCTAAACCCAAATATTTCTATTCAGTTGAGTGCAATGGGTAGACACAGAAGACACCTCACCTCAAATTACATCTTTGGGATTAAACAGCACTGAACAGGGTAGGTGAATTACAGCCAAAATCAAGCGAAGATTTTCAAGGAAGCTTCAACAGAAATGTTAAGAATGACATTTCAATTCAAATCCAGAAGTGCTAATGGGAGATACTGAAGTCTTAGCCAATATAAGAAAGGGTTGGGAATGGTCTTTTAGACACAATTCTGTAAGAATGCTTTGGCCAATAAAGTCTGGGTCTGCAGAACCAGATATCCCGAGGGCCACACAGATGGCATGTATGTAGCTCCATCACAGAGTGCTCTCTAGGGTGTTGTAGTTGTCTTTAAAGCTCTTCAGTTCGAGGAAGTGCTTAGGGCGTTTGCTCTTCTGGCTGGAGGGCAGGTATGTGACCTGGATGGTTGTTGGTGACATTTCAGGTGACTGAGTTAGGTCTTTGGCCGCTGACTGGTGTTGTCTCTGAGAACTCCCAATTCGTGCTTTGACTCTGAAGAATACATACCAGGCATGGACAAATGAGAACTAGCAGAAAAAGGGGCTGGAGAGATGACTCAGTGATTAAGAGCTCCTCTAGAGGACCAGAGTTCAAGTCCTAGCAACCATGTCAGGTGTCTGTAATTCTAGCTACAGGACAGAACCTTTGCACATACTTACACATAACCAAAACTAATGAAAAATAATTTTTTTTTTTTGTTTTTTCAAGACAGGGTTTCTCTGTGTAGCCCTGGCTGTACTGGAACTCACTCTGTAGACCAGGCTGGCCTCAAACTCAGAAATCCACCTGCCTCTGCCACCCAAGTGCTGGGATTAAAGGCGTGTGCCACCCCTGCCTGGCGAAAAAGAAATCTTAAAAACAAAAAAATTCCAGAATACAATTCAGAAATTATTCCACCCCATAAATGCAGCAAAAAATCATCTGATCTATTTTGCCAGTTACTAAGCAAGGCGTGGTGGCACACACCTCTAATTTCAGGAGGCAGAAGGATATCACAAATTCAAGGCCGATCTGGTTTACAAAGCAAGTCTTCTCCAACTCCATGTACTACAAAATGAACCACGACCCCCCCCCAAAAAAAACCCCACAAAGCCCAAACAACTCATTAATAAAACCATTTGATAATTTGTATTATCAGAGAACCTAAATTTTATTAAGTACTTCTTTCCAGCATAATCCTTTCTTTTTTGGGATGTGGGGAGGGAGAAGGGACAGAAAGGATCTTATGATGCAGGCAAGGCTGGCCATACAGGAAAGTGGGCCATTACATCTGGCTCCAGCTTTTATTATGCTATGCTTACAGAAAGCTTGTAACTTTGCTGACTGCCTTCTTTAACACCAGTATGTCAATAATTTCCCAGTGCAAAGAGAAGGACATATCAAACAAAAATAAAGTCAAACTATTGGGTACATACCACATTATAAGACACATGGCACTTGGTGACTTGCCACAGTTCATTTACCAACACCTTAGTATCTCCAGCATTGTAACATTGACTTTGCAGGTTAAGAATCAAGAGTTCAGCCGGGCAGTGGTGGCGCACACCTTTAATCCCAGCACTTGGGAGGCAGAGGCAGGCGGATTTCTGATTTCAAGAGTTCGAGGCTAGCCTGGTCTACAGAGTGAGTTCCAGGACAGCTCGGGCTATACAGAGAAACCCTGTCTGGAAAACAAAACAAAAAAAAGAATTCAATAATTAACTTTTATGATATCATAAAGCTAGATAGATTTATCACATGTCAAAGCCTATACCTTCCATTATTATCCATCAAACCTTTCTGGAAACCAGAATTTAAAAAAAAAAAAAAAAGCTAGCCAGGTACTATAGCATATACCAATACTACTAAAGCTCATGACGGCAAAGGCAGGAGTATCACTGTCTTGAATTGTAGGAAACAAGACCCTATCTCAAAAAGCTAAAATTAAAGTAACAAAATATCTAATGAAATACACAGCAATAAACCTTGTTTCCCAGACTAGCTTTCTCTGTGTTGCCCTGGCTGTCCTGGAACTCAATCTTGTAGGTCAGACTGGCATTAGAACTCAAGAGATCCACCTGCCCCACCTCCTGAGTGCTGGGATTAAAAGCACGTGCCACTACTGCCCAGTTGGAAATGCATCTTAACTATTTTCAAATACACACTTTGATAGTTAAGTACAATCATAATTTTGTAGAATTAACCTTCAGAATGCTTTCCATTTTACAAAACTGAAGTTTATGTTGATTATTTTAAATAAAGCTTTCTTACCTCCCCAGGTCCTAGCAACCACCTTTTTATATTCCCTGAGTTTGACTACTTAGATCACAGTGAAATCAGCATCTATATTTCAAGTGAATTTTTAACAGGTTTCCTGCCTAACTTTTGTTTTTAAAAAGACTTGTTTATTTATTGTGTATACAGAATTCTGCATGCATATACAATGGCATGCCAAAAGAGGGCACCAGATCTCATTACAGATGGTTGTGAGCCACCATGTGGTTGCTGGGAACTGACCTCGAAGAACTTTGGAAGGGCCGGGTGGTGGTGGTGGCACATGCCTTTAATCGCAACACTTGGGAGGCAGAGGCAGGCAGATTTCTGAGTTTGAGAGTTGGAGGCTAGCCTGGTCCACAGAGTGAGTTCCAGGACAGCCAGGGCTACACAGAGAAACCCTGTCTCGGAAAAACAAACAAACAAAAAAAGAACTTTGGAAGAACAGTCAGTGTTAACATCTGAGCGAACTCTCCAGCCTCTAACTTCTTTTAAGATTTCTTATTTGTGTGTATGTGCCTGCAAGCTCATGGGTACCACATATGCACAGGAACCTGAAGATGTCAGAAGCTGGTGTTACATGCCCTGGCTGATGCATGTTTGGCAAGCACTCTACCAACTGAATTATATCCTCAGATCTTGGAAACTAACTTTAGATTGGTTTTCGTTTTTCAGTATGCATGGTTAGTTACAATTTGCCAAAGTGGCATACTCAAACTACTGTAAAACATTCACCAGTCAGAGTCCTTTATAAACAAATGCTTAAAAATTGACTTTCTTTTTTTTGTTTTTTTGTTTTTGTTTTTCAAGACAGGGTTTCTCTGTGTAGCCCAGGCTGTCCTGGAACTCACTCTGTAGACCAGGCTTGCCTCGAACTCTTGAACTCAGAAATCCACCTGCCTCTGCCTCCCAAGTGCTGGGATTAAAGGTGTGTGCCACCACCACCCAGCTTGATTTTCTTTCTTTAAAGACAGATTTACGTTGCTTTACATGGTTTAAAGAAAAAAAAAATTCTTTCTTTTATTGGACCACAGCACAAAGAGGAGGACCCTAGAATAGAAGGAGTTCCTTAGTGCTGAAAAGTCATTACTTTGCTAGCTATACTATTTTTGACATTTTACTTTTATTTACAGTGTATGGATGTCTTGATTATCTGTGCACTACATACATGCCTGGTCTTTATGGAAGCCAGAAAAGATATCAGATCCCACTGTAATTGGAATTATAGAGGGTTGTAAGACACCATATACTTGGTAAGGATTGGACCCCAGTTGTCTATAGGAGCAGCTAGTGCTCTTAGGCCAAGCATCACTCCACTCCAGGCCTTTTTGTTTTGTTTTTTTGAGACAGAGTTTCTCTTTGTAGCCATGGCTGTCTAGGAACTCTCTATGTAGACCAGGTTGCCATCTAATTTAGAGATTTGCCTATCTCTTCCTACTGAGTGTTAAGAGTAAAGGTCTGCACCACCATGCTCAGACAATTTTGACATTTTAGTGGGCTAGACAAAAAATAAAATCCAAAACAAGAATAAAACCCAAGATATGCATACAAAGTAGAAGTTTCTCTTGATAGCTTATAGATCAAAATGTCCACTTCTTAATCCTGGCAATTTTTATGAGAACAGTCTAGCACTTCTGTATTCTTCTCTACTTCTGTTTGTTTATTTACTTATTTAGATATAGCCTGGGGTGGCCTAGACCTTGTGATTTTTCTCCTTACTGTACATCTATGTCTAACTAGCCCTCTTTGAGGTCATACTCACACAGTGGCCAGCTCACTTAAGGCCTCCTGATATCGCAAGTACTCACTCTGGCCAAAGACCTTAGGAAACAGAAAGGAAAAATCAATCTGTTTGTCTGAAGCATTTCATCCTTTTAGTTCCTTGAACTAAATAAATAGTCCAATAGTCCAACTTACCCCTGTCCCATAGCGGGCTGTCTCGTATCCATCCAGGAGGGTATCAATGAGGGCCTTTCGAACACCCTTGAAAGGAGTGCTAGTGTTTCGAAGATCTAGCAAGTAGGAGCGGAAATTCTTACCCATTAAAGAACAGGGATGCCGGCCTTCACCATGAAACGGGATCTCTGAGAAGACAACAACAAACTTAGAAATAGTAATTATCACCAAGAAACCCTGTATTTTATAAAGTTAATATACACTAATAAAAAAAATTTCTAATAGAATTAAGATCAGAGATATATAGTTATGCCCAAGTGGTTATTTGAGTAGTGGCTATACAACTCTGAGCTCTATGTCAATAATACATGATAGCATCAACATCCTTTTTATACTGTGCTACTGTACATCTCCCTTGGACTCACTGAAAAAGCAGATGCTACATTTTCCAATCTCTTTTGAATGAAAACAATTATCATCACTCAACTAAAGGTTTCAGGAGAAGAACTTTTTTTTTTTAAGATTTATTTTATTTATATGAGTACATTGTAGCTGTCTTCAGACACAGCAGAAGAGGGCACCAGATCCTATTATAGATGGTTGTGAGCCACCATGTGGTTGCTGGGAATTGAACTCAGTCAGTGCTCTTAACCGCTGAGCCATCTCTCCAGGCCCGTGAGAAGAGCTTTAAAAAACAAAATCAAGTGCTAGGTGTAGTGTAGTGGCACAAACTGATAATCCCAACATTTGGGAGGCTAATGCAGAAGGATCCTCAATTCAAGACCTGCTTGAGCTACATAGCAAGAATCTGTCACAAAAACAAACCAACAAACCCAAACAAAAAAACCAAAAAACTCCCGAAATATGCACAACACAAAACCCTTGGGGGGGGTGGGAGGGAGGGAAGCAAGCAAACAAACAAGAAACACCCCTACCCCAAAGTCAAAAACACAACTGCCCAGAATTCCAGATCCAGAGGATCTGACTGTTCTTTTGGCCTCCTGCACACAAACAGTACATATAAACCCATGGACACAGAGGCAGGTGACCTCAGGAGTGTTGAGGTCAACCTGGTTATCAATTGAGTTCTAGGACAACCAGGGATACACAAAAATATCCTGTTTAAAAAAAAACAAAAACAAAAACGAAGCAACCAACCAAAAAAAAAAAAAAATCCAAGCAAACAAGAAAAGATAGACGGACAAAGGAAGACAGAGGTGCTTTATCTCTGAGAGAGGATCTCTCCATGTAGCTAGCCCTGGAAGTCCTAGAACTTCCTTAGTAGATAAGCCTGGCCTTTAACTGCCTGCCTCTGACTCCTGAGCTGTGGGATTAAAGGCATGTGTTGCCACACCTGGATACCCAAAGTGATTTCTTTTAATATAGTACTCTCAAAATAAATCCTAACAAGAAATGGCCCATCCTTCTGTTCTATAGGTTTAGATTCTAGAGTGTGCCTTATCAGCTAACTTACCAGAGGCACGGATGGCATCTAGAGCTTTCATCCTGTATAGATAGTTGTAGCAACCTATTGAGAAAAAGACTAATCTCAGTGATCACTCTCAAAATGTTCCAAGATTACAGTGAATTAATAAATGGGCTTCTTGTATCTAGCATGTATCCAATAACTGAGGACTACAGAGTTTTGTTATAGGTGTTATTGTAAAACTGTGGGTCTCCTCAGTGAAACGTCCTTCAGGAGCTTGTCACATACTTTGATTCCCCTGGGTTTCCAGCTGCAGTAGTCTGGTATCATCATCTGCAAGAAGCTGAGGTTCATACTTGATATCCTGAACCCTGGAGAGTCGAATATCGATCTCCTCTTTTAAGTCCTGTACATTCAGAGAAAAGAATACATCATCACTATCTTGTATTCTATTTCCCAACAAGTTGTAAGCAGCTTAGAGCATATAAACTAATACGAGCATATAAATAGAGCATATAAAATAATACTAACAGAAAAACCAAGGAACGGTGAGCTTTGTATATGCTTGACCCAGGGAGTGGCACTATTAGGAAGTCTGGCCTAGGTGTGTCACTGTGTGAGCTATTATTGAGATACACTTCCAACCGAAATGTCAGAAATCCTGGATTTATACTCTATTGAAAAAGAAAGTGCCGGGTGGTGGTAATCCCAGCACTTGGGAGGCACAGGCAGTTGGATTTCTGAGTTTGAGGCTAGCCTGGTCTACAGAGTGAGTTCCAGGACAGCCAGGGCTACACAGAGAAACCCTGTCTCGAAAAAGAAAGTACATTTTAACCAACATACTGGACAAACTGTGACAATGCTGCAATGAAAAATTCAAGGTGATATTTGTAGGGCGTGGCAATACCTGCCTTTAATCGAAGTACTCAGGAGACAGAGGCAGATAGATTTCTTTGGACACCCTGGTCTACAAAGTGAGTTCCAGGCTAGCCAGGCTACATAGAGAAACCTGTCTCCAAAGAAGAAAAGACAGATAAACAAACAAAAACAAAACAAACCAAGCAATTATGTAATACACATTCCTCTCTTTAGGAAAATAACTTTTAACTACCATCTAAACTAAGGAGCTGGGTATTACAATGCATGCCTGTAATTCCAGCAGTCAAGACATAGAGGTGGGAGATCAGGAATTCATGGCCAACTTTGTGTTCTAGAGGCCAGCCTGGGCTATAACAGACTCTAGTCTCAAAAGCCAAAAAGGAATGTGTAAGACAGCCAAGTAAAGACCATTTTTAGTCAGTGGCAGTATGTGCAAAGTTATGAAATTCAGTCACTAGAGCCTGATTCTGGTAATGGGGAGAGCCACAGAAAAGGAAGTTGGTAAAGTCAGTTGGTGTCTTATTAAATGTAAAAGCATGATGGGGGTGGCAAAGGGATGTAGAGATTCTGATTTAGAGCAGGGGATGCTATCTCAGTTGATAGAGCAATTGTCTAGCATGCATGAGGTTCCTGGGTTCAGTCTCCAGCACCACATAAACCAGGAATGGTGGTGCATGCTTAAAACCTTGGCACTTTGGAACTGAAAAGCAGGAGGCTAAGTTCAATGTCATATCCAGCTAATCAAAAATATAGGGGATCCAGTTGGAAAAACACCAACTACCAACAAAAAGACTTCAAAGGAGACGGGGACAGGAGGCCAGGCAGTATAGTCAAATTGGCAAATTCCAAGCGTAATGGAAACCCTGTCTCTAAAATTAAGGTGGAGAGCAACTGAGAATACAGAATATGCCACATTATGGCTTCCAAACAAACACACATGCATGCATACCTACCTACACGTAGGTGTACACACGAGCACACACAAAAACAAAGATTCCTGACTTATGTATATTAGGTTTGACATGGCTATTTGAAACCTAAGGGTTTTTGTTTTTTGATTTTTTTTTTTTCCAGACAGGCTTTCTTTTTGAAGCCCTCCTTAACTGTCCTAGAACTCACTCTGTACACCAGCCTGGCCTCAAAATCGCAGATCTTCCTGTGTGGTAGGATTAAAGGCATATGCCCCAACTGCCCAGCCTCGAAACCTGAGTTTTAATGTCAGATGATAGTTACATATCCCAACAGGTTTCTCAATAGAAAAAGTTTCATTAGAAGACATTTTTCTTAAAGCCAAGAAAAGGAAAGCACTTAAGTTGAAAGTTAAGACACTACTAGATTATTTACTACTTTTAATTTTATTTTTTGGTTTTTCTTGTCAAAGTTTCTCTATATAGCCCCAGCTGTCCTGAACTAGCTTTGTAGACCTGGTTGGCCTCAGAGATCCACCTGTTTCTGCCTCCTGAGTGCTGGGATTAAGGGTATGTTCCACCATGCCCAGCATGATTATTTAATTTTTAGATGTAGTCTGATGTGGCACATTATCTTGGTAATCTCAGCACTTGTACTGTTCAGGCAAGAGGGCTGCTTTGAGGTTGCATGATGAGAGAGCCATCTTGAGTTACATTAGTGAGTTCAAAATGTCTCAAAATATAAAACAACAGTAACAAATTTAAAAAGTTGTTAGGTAATTTCTTTGGTTTTAGGCTTGCCTTGAAAGGTGGAACTAGGTGATTCCTGCTCCGCCCTTCCTCTTTGTAATGTCAGGGATTAACCTCAGAGTCTTCTGCATTCTAAGCAAGCACAATGGGACAGGCATCTTTAAAATTCTGCAAAGGCAACTGTTCTCACAACTCTGGAACGAACTGTAACTATTCCCAACATCATGCTTAAACTAAAGCAACATGAAACGTTTGGTAACTTAAGTTGAGGATGAGAGACATTTTACACCTGAATTGGCTTAAATCTTAAGGTACATATTGTGGAGCAGCAGTGAGCAAGCGAGCCAGGTCCGCAGGCAGTTATTGCTTCGTTTGTGGAGGGGAAATGAAAGTAAGTGTATGAATAAAAGTCATCTTTTAAAGTCAGAGAAATCTCCTTGTGCCAAAGACCCAGGTTTACCTTGCACTCTAATGACCTACCTTGGGGGCATTGTGTCCCACAGGGACATGGGGTCCCCTTCTAGATTTCATTGCAAAGCGCATGATTTGTCTCTTCACAAAAATAAACAGCAGTACGAATACCTGCCCAAAAAGATTAGAAACATTTTTAGTAACAATCTAGAAAAGTGTTCACTTTCAAAATCCCTGGGTTTACCCTTTCAGAGCTGGATGCATTGGGGCGAAGCCAGGTTGCTAAGGCTGGAGGTGGGTCTGGGTCTAGTAGCAGGGACGCATGCTAATCTGGGCCCTAGAACTTAAGAGGAAGGGTTCTTACTCAGGGGCAGGCAGCTTTGACTTAAAGATCTCAGGCAGTGTACGGATACAATTCCAAAGTCCAGAAGCAAAGCAAGTTAAGTGGCTGAAGCACGAAGACAGAAAATGGCTCAGGAAGAGGGTCCGGATTCAGGACAAACGCCACAAGAGGAATAGAATGGGGATCTCCTCACCAGGCTCCCGTACGCCATCACAAGCACGACATTCACTCCAGACAGCCAGTTACTACTAGACGCCATCGCCTCTCTCCGGGAACACCTGCTAGGATAGTCCCGCCGCGCTCGCGCGTTAGCCCAGGCTCAGCCGAAGCAAGGACACCTAGGTTCCCTGGAGGTCTCCGGCCATTTCCATATGGTTTTCGGTGAAAAACCAGGCTAGAGTCCGTCAGAAAATATGGTGGATAGGGGCGCTAGGTAAGCATAGGACTGTCCCGTCCCACCGCCCGCCACGTGACTTACGTCGGCAAAGGAACCTGGGAGTGCGGAGACGCGGAACTACGCCAGTAAGAGGAAGCAGAGACCGTACTGGAGTCACGTGATGGAGGCGGAGCCGTACGGGGCGGGGCGGGGGCGGGGCGGGCGCGCGGAACTCAAGAGCAGTGTTTCGTGGCGGGGAGGCGCGCGCACGCTGACGTGCGCGGCCCTTTCGCGTCACGTGCTGAGGGACGCAGGAAGGCAAGTGGGAGGGGGAAGGCGCGAGAGCGAGCGCGAGAGGGAAAAGGAGGGAGGGGGTGGGGAGGAGGGAATCTTATATCACGTGACAGGGGCGGCGCGGCCCGGGGTGTCAGTGTGGAGGAGACTGAGGTAAAGTTGGGAGCGCAGCGGCGTTGGCGGCGGCGGCGGCGGCAGCGGCAACGCGGCGGGGCCGGGTATTGTCCGCGGCCCCTTTAAATCCGCGATCCCCTTTTTATCCTCCCTCCTTTTCCTCTGTCCCTTCTATATTCCCTTCCCGCGGTAGGCCCCCCCCACGCTGTGTGTTTCCCCACTGTACACCCTCCCTTCCAGTCTTGTGAGCTCGGGCGTCCAACCCCCCCCCCCCTCGAGTTGGCCGCCGGGGGTTTTGTTTATAGTTTGGTTCGCGGCCTACTGGGCCGCGCCAGAGCCGGGGCCTCGATTTGGGAGCGTGGCCGGGGCGGGGCTTGGGGCAGCCGAAGGGGGGGCATGCGGCTAGAGCCTGAAGAGGGAGAGCGAGAAAGAGCGCAGGCGAGCGAGGCCTGGGCCCAGCCTGAGGTAGGGTTGTCTACTAGGGTCAGTGTCAGAGAAGGCCTCCTCCCTTCCCAGTCCTCTATGGGCCTCTGATCCGGATCCGGCCTGGTTTGGGGGCGGAGGGGGATGGCGATGGGGTGGAGCTGCCCCAAACTCCCCCATGTGGCCCTCAGTTTGGAGTGCGGAGGATTAATTTGTTCCGGGTGGGAGGTAGAGAGGCGAATGGCCCCATGGGCTCTAGATGTGGCGCGGAGGGGGGGAGTCTCCCATCCTCCGCGCGTGGGCTTCTGTCCTCTCTGTTCGTTTCCAGCCTCTTTGTCAGCTCCTCTTATTACCCTGTCTTCTTTCTTACCGACCCTGATCGTGGAATATAATTTCGCTGCAGTCTTTGACTTCCTGTTGTCTATACTGTAGTTTTGGATACCCAAGCAATTATATTATTTGGGAAGCTGGACATGGAGGCCCCCATGGATTGTGTTACGCCTAAGGGACGTCACTAGACTGGGCATTTGTTCGTTTTTCTCATAATGGGAATGGAATTCCAAATTTCTTGAGACCCTTCACCTGGTGGACAGCCCCTAAATTGTTTTGCAAAGTGATGTCACAAACGAGAGACTGTTTTCCACGATTCTTAAAATTTAGCAACCTCCGGTGTAGGTTGTTGTGGAAAGAAAAACACGGTTAAAGGCGATTTTGTGGTTTTTGTTTTTTTTGTTTTTTTGTTTTTTGCCTTTGACTAACTGTGACTACTAAATGGAGAAATCCTTTTTTGTCTCCACCTCCCATATTCTGCGTTGGGGATATCTGTTGTGACTTGCTGGGAGGGATATGGATCACTTTGACAACAAGCACTATTAGAGATTAAAATATTTGGATGTATATCTGTTGATAAAACTGTGTAGTGGGTCCTACACCACTGTCTTTAATTATAGATTATTCCAATGATTGTTCCTGTTGCGAATGGGAGATACTGCTTGTAAAATAGTGAGACAGGGCTAAATGTACTGCCATTCCTAAGTGTTTCTAACAGGGAGGGCTCCTATTAGATTGAAGGTGGTTGGGGAAAATGGAACGCAGGTCTTTTCAACAAAGCATCTAGGGAAATTAATTTCTCTGTTAGAAGTGGTAAGTCTTACTCATCCCAGTCCAACTTTAGAATGTCTGAATTGTTTCTCAAATTAGATTGTAAGCTCCCTGAGAGCAGCAACTAAGTCACAATGCTTTTGTATTTCCTGAAGTATTGGACACGTAGTAGACTCTCAATAAATACTTATTGTTTATTTTTTTCAGTAAAATTTCTCTGGCTATTTTTTTAAGTAGCTGGCTTTCAAAATGTAGTCAAGGGCACTTCTTTGTTGAAACGTGTACTTGTTCCTGTAGTGTCCCCTTGATTTCCAATACTTCTTTCTCATCCTACTTCCCTTAAGTACTTAAGTTTTCTATGAGTTAACAAAACAAGGCCACTCACTTTCACTGTGTAACTCTGGGTATTCTTCTTTGTTTGCTACTAACATGCTACTAATTCTGTGCCCTTAAGTGGTTTGCCCAGATTATTTACTTTTGACCTGTTGCTCATTGTTACTAATGAGGGGTTAAATTTTTCTTAAGTTACATATTTCAAAGTATTTCCAAAGAGGAAAATGGAAGTTAAAAGCAAGACATCAAAAGAATTTTTTTTTTTTTACTTGTTGGCTAATTGCATATCTTTCAGTATGACTATAATATATTTACATCTAACTCATAAAATGTGCAGTGATCTATACAACTAGTCTTACAGCTTATATTTATGGTATAATTCTCAAAATTTCATATATATGGAATAGAAACCATATTTGCATTTTTAAACCACAGCAACAGGAGTAGGTTGGGATTGAAATAGAATTTTCCTCTATCTCTCCCTCTCCTCACTATTGCTGCTTTGGATCCACCAGTACTTAGTTAAACACCTGATTTTTTGTAAATTAAGAATTGAAACAACTATAATGTTACCTTGGGAAAGTGACCTAATAATACACTATTTACAGGTCTTTGTACACGTATGTAGGGGAAGAGGTACTGGTTAAAAATTAGTGCTGTGTCTGTTAAAATCCTAAATTGGTGTTGAGAAATGAAATAGAAGTCTTTGTTCTTAATAACCACATCAAAAAACAAAGACTTGTGCAGCCTATTGACACTACTTGGTGACGGATTTATCCACAGGAAGGCCAGTTTTCTCCATGCTATCCAAGAAACAGGTGAAGTTCATGTCCCTACTTAATCCTTGCATATTTGTTTAGAACTCTCTTGACCTCAAAATCCAGTGTCTGCTGGGCGATCTAGAATTACCCTGTATAGTGTTTCATTAGTGAAAAAAAAATGTAGAGCAGGAAAGTATAAATTTGTCTTCTTTGGAAAAGGATAAAACAATGAAAAGTAACTTGATTTTGAGCGCTATCATGATGATGAATGTTTTCTTTGTTTACTCAAAGCATCAGCTGAGATTATATTACAAAATAATATGAAGAAAGAGAACTTGAATTTAATAGAACACTTGTTTGATAGAATGGACAGAAACTGTGTTCTAGTTTTGGGAAGGCTTTTATGTTCTATGTCTCTTCAAAAAGTGAAGTCATCTTGTAAACAATATCAAATTTAAGGTCATTTCCTAGAAGCTTTTTCAAATAAAACTTGATGATAGGTACATTTGATTGGGGCAGATTTGGGATTCTCTTTGTTTTAAGGTGAGTGGTGGAGAGTAATTGCTATTCTGTTTACTTGAAAATATATATAAGACCAACTGTAACAGCTGCAAAGGCAGTGTGTTGGAATTAACTGTCTAGGAAATGGATTCTGGGTAGCCACTAGGACTAACACATGCCCTAGTCGTGAAGAGCTAAAACTGGAAATAAAAGGCTAGTTACGAATTTGTCTTTTTCTAAGTAGTAGAAGTCACACACAGCTTGTCAAACAGTGTAAGGCAATGACTTTTTAATGTGTACTGGGTATTTTCCTTCTAGTCCCCGTTATGATTATGAACCCAGGTCCTTAGCTATGCCCACAGTTCATAAAGTATTATAAAATTGTAATTTCTTTGACTTTCTAGACTAATATAGAAGATTCTCCATCCCTTTCCTCCTTCTCCTTTTCTTCCTTCTTTCATGTCTATCTTTTGTGACAGGATCTTACTGTGTTGCCCAGGCTGGCCTCAAATTTACGATCCTCTCTGGTCAGCTTTCCAAGTGCTGGGATTACAGGTATGTGCTGTGCCCAACTCCTGGAAGGCATTTATTTTCTAGGGTTTGTTAATTGTCTTTCTTTTTGTCAAAGACACTTTAGATGCTTTTATATGTTTAGAGAGTTTTTTAATATTTCAATTATTTTTGCTTATTTGCAAGATAGCAGTAATCAAGTTATGTTTCTAATGTCTTTTTAAAAAGTCACATGGGACAGCACTTGGGAGGAAGAAGCTGGAGGATAGCCGTGAGTTTGAAGCCAGCCAAGGCTACATAGACTGTCTTCAAACAAGCATCACATACACTTTTATACATTTTTGGATGTGAGGTTTGATTACCTAGCCTAGCCTAGGACCTTATGCATACAGACCATATGTTTTATTACTGAGGCACATGAACAAAAGTGGAATAACAATCATATTTATCACACTATAACAAAAAAATGTTTCTTTCAGTGGCACACACCTGTAGTCATAATACTTGGGAAGTAGAGGAAAGATGATTAGGTTTTCAAGGTCAGTTTTGCTACACCGTGTTTAAGGCCAGCTCACACTAAAACCCAAAATATATATTAAAAGGGGAGCTTGAGTTGAAAAATGTAGCTAAGTTGTATAGAGCTTGCCTAGCATATATAAAGGTCTGAGTTTGATTCCCAGCACACTAGAAAAAAAGAATGGTTAAAAAACAATAGGTGAATTTCCTTGGTTTGTTTCTTAGAGGATAGCAAAGTGATTGGTGGTAATGTACTGATAAAATAGAATTAAAACATTTTACCTACATTTAACTATATGTTTTTTCCTCTTCAGTATTCTTCCTTGTAAATACTGTTATTTGTATATACTGTAAATGATGACGTCGGTGGGCACTAACCGAGCCCGGGGAAACTGGGAACAACCTCAAAACCAAAACCAGACACAGCACAAGCAGCGGCCACAGGTAATGAACCCAAGGATGTAAATCGACGAGTACATATCACCTGATGATAGTGGTTTCCATGCAGTATAGCATCATTCTGT